TGATTTAATTCTTGTCAAAACTTTGACAGATCAGGACATGAATGAATTCAGTAACCCCAAAACCAATTTCCACCACAGCTTCATTTTTCAATCTGTACAGGAAACATAATAGAGCAGTGATGAAAAACTATAAGACATTATGTCAAAGGTTTCCTTCCTGAAAACTAAGACACACCTTTCACAATTGGTATTTGCTTGGCAAAAAAAAACAGAGACAGCGCAAATTAGAGCATTTATTCAAATAAGTTAATATCTGTTCAGCACTTAACACTCAAAACAAATGTTTTTCTTTGTGTCTTCTTTTATTCCTTTAATGTACTATTTTAATTAGTCCTTTTATGTGTACTTCACAAACAGTACAAACAAAACAAAATAGAGTGCCTTTCTTGTCTACTAAAAACCCTGAATGGCAATTATATCATATCACTATTTCGCTCATGAAGTTATGATCTTTTTCAAATCATCGCTATTACTCCTACAAAGGACCATTGTTTAAAATGTCAGTATGTATTCTKATGTTTTCTATGGTGTAAAATTTAGTATTTTATCACAGGGAACACAGCTGCAACCAACACCAGTTTATTACTAGTTATCTATTCAATCATTTTTACGACTGCTTTGTGAGGGTTAAAAGCAACAGGAGAACTTGTTGAAAAAACAGGAGTGCATTAAAAACACTACAAGGGATCCACTTTAAAATATGAAACCCCCACCAAGTTGACCTTTTGAACTCTAAGACGAATTCTCTCATGGCGATACAATAACAGTCATTCTCACATTTGTTTATTGTGTATTTAAGGTACTTATAGCCTATATTATAGCAATGAGAGATAAGATGATGCTCAAGACATGTTATAGTATAGACAGTTTGTCATTATTCATAGCTTATGTGTAATGTTAAAATACCTACCGTTAGGCAACCCATAAGGTTGTTTTCAAATGGTCTCTGGAAGGCCCTCACATCCCCACACCATTCTAGTAACTCCCGTGCTGCTGTCTGGAATCCTTGAGGTGAAGATAGATGAGTTTTGATGCAAACCAGGCGCTCATTAGTCTGTTGGATATGTCTCTCCATACTAAGGGCCATTCCTGAACCTGAGATAGAAGAAATAGTTATAAATTTATACTCACAACAGATCAAACTACGGACTAAACACCCTAATAGCTAGTTATAACAATAGCAATATTATTCAGCAGCTTTGAAAATAAGTAAGTCTCACTATTTAATATTTTATAATTACAGTAATAATAATAATAGTAATACTACAGTTAATTCACTGCAATGATAGCTATAGTGCATAAGTGTCTAACTATAGTCAGTGTTATACAATACACCTTTCTTCAAAATTGCTCTCTTCACTTTAAAAATTCATAGCTCAACAGATTTTCATTGGTGTCAGTTACTACATTTTTACAGAGCTTCCAAGTGAAGCATGTAGTTTCCCGTGTCCAAAAAATAGGCTAATCACAGTAGCAATTTTGAAGAAAGGTCTATCAATTTATAACAAAGTATTTCAAAGATTTCATTAATGACATCTAAAACTAATAATAAATATAATAATTCTAATAACAAAATCACTACTATATTAATAATGATAATATCATTCGTTGTTATTTAATGTTAATTATGTTAGTGATTGTAAAAGCAATATATTAATAATAGCTATAAAGATAATATTATAATCTAAAGTAAGGAATTGTATAAAGAAAACTAAATATACTAGATAGATAAATTAGCTTATCATCTACAATATGAACCATGCAAAAAATTCAAAATTGAGTAGTTTTCATAACCCTACCTAGCACTGTTGCCATGTTCAAAATGACAATTCAAACAATTCTTGAGTTGACWAMAGATTATTTTCATTGCAATACAAGCACTCTTAAGATTAATTCTTGTGGTTTTGACATGCATAGTTCAAATAAGTTTTGCTATGAAAAGAAAGAGTCTGTGGGGCCTATCCTAAGTGAGTGATAGTCTTACAAGTGAGGTGTTATAGAGTGCTAGCTTGGAGTGCTAGTTGACTGTATTTTCACACTTTTACTTTAGCTACGCCTTCCACTTCAAAGCTCACCATCTGTGGTAAAGCTACAAGGTTTAATACATTTACACAAAGGTGTAAACAGAAGTGATACTTTACTTCCTAACAMAACTTACAGTATAAGATTACAACCAGTAGAACAACATAAAGATTACTTCATAAAAGGAAAATACATAAAACAACACTGATTGACAAAAGGAAAATAAATAAAATCCAGTACAAAATAAAAATATTTTCAATATTTTCTTAGTTGCAGATTGCTAACATTAGACACCAGACTTAGGCAATAATTATTTCATGAGAGAACTGTATAGCAACCACTATCATTAAAAGCTTATCTAAAATACAAACAACTTCAATGACAGTAACTGTGCTAATCTGACAGTTGACAACAAACACTGTAAATCAACCTCACAGAATCACAGTCAGCCACAGTTCAGTTCACCTAGATCTGTTATACAAACTTACACTGACAATAAACAAAGGGACTAGAACTATCACTACATAACTAAACACCTAAAGCACACTAGCTTCAAATTGGCTCAAGGAATAAGCACAGTCTGGTGCTAATATAAACCACTTCAGTACAACTTTGGACAGTACCTATTATCCAACTTCATCTTTAGCAGACATAACAGCATCCCAATAAGGTTTAACTTAATCAAGACCCTTTCTACTATAAGGCTATAAATTATGCATGGTCACCAGAACTCCATATGGTTTCAAACTCATGGCTGATCAAGCCTGTCAATAGAAGTCTATTGGCCCCAGTTACACTACAGTCAAGCTATCAATCAARCTGACCAAAGTGACATCTTTTCACTAGAGCTTGAATGACAGACAAAGGGGAAATTTCAGAATAGTGACATGTTCTTTGTCTGGGTGATGTTTGCAAAGGGTTTTTTATACAATACAGTGGTCATTTAGCTATTACCTAGAACAATGATTTTGAAGGCTTAGACTTGAAAGACAAATTATAGCAGTAAATGTAAAGATTTGACAAATGTGAATGTAATTKTTAAGGAAAGTTAGGTAAATGAATTAATATGAATTATGTAACCTGTTCTTTGACAAAAAAAGAGAACAAAAACAAATAATATCAAATCTACAAAATTTCGAACATTAATATCAGTACTAATATCAGTACAAAAGTGTGACGTCACAAAAATTTGTTTTCACATTTGTCAAATTTGCTACAAYATTCTTTTSTTTTGAACCAGAGCAAATTTACACAGGTATGTATGTGGTCAACCAACCACAAAAGCACTTACTAGTAATATACATAAACTATAAAAGGCACTGAAAGACTAAATGTGGTAGGAATGCATTGAAAATGATGTGTGTAGTTGTTTTTTTTTTTTCATAATATGGAAGCCAATTTTAAAAACTGAGAATTTTTGTTTTATGATGCCATCACTCCGTACTCTATAGCCATGATAATAATAATAACAATATCAATAAAACTAATAATAAACAAAATTATCATATAATTATCTATGAAATACCGATATTTCTCCATTTCGTAAAATTGATATTTTCACTAGTGAAAATAACACATTCGAGGTATCTCTATATAGTGGAAGTAAGAAAAAGGTATTTTACGACATTTGCTTTCATATGTAATTATATGATAAACAGAATATTACATGGTCGCTTGAAGATACGAATTTTATCTTCTCCTGTTGAAAATCTCTCACTCATTCGCTACACTCTAACTCGTGAGAGATCTTTTCAACACTCAAAGATAAAATCTGTATCTCCGCGCGTCTATGTCATATCCTCTTTTTATAATGCTTATAGTAATGATACAGATGCTATAATAATAATAATATGATAATTATTATGATAAAGATAATGAAAACATAATTAACAAAAATAAATCACTAAAAATACTATCAATAATATTTGATACAAATGATGTTGTTTATGTTATATTAACTATTTTTTACTAAGGAGTATAATACATACATATCTAATAATTAAAAACAGAATCAATTATTTTAGACGTTATAAATACAATGTAAATCAAAGCCCTAAAGAGACCATCAAAAATAAACAAAAATACCTTCACTACAAAATACTACTAGGCTTACTAGTCTAAACAAAAAAATATCACAAACGAAACACAAATAGGACTCATTCCAGCATGAACAATAGCTAAATGCGCTGCAACAAAGATCACTTTTTCAAAATGAAGACATTTGGGATGAATATTAGATTTTTGTACAATGTTAAGTGGTTATGTGTGACTCATTAATTTACTTGATATATACTTTATTCTTACTTTTATCAATTAGYTTAACAGTTAAGTGTTAGAAGTTTAAATTTAAATATTTTTATAGTTATATTGGCTTTCAAGCACAACTGTCAAAACAGAGCACACTATGACAATGTGTACAAAAGCTTCAAAACATTAAAAAAAAGCCAAAGAGTACATCTTCAAAGACAAAATACTGTAGTAAGAGGATTAATGAAGTGCTGAGACACTAGAAAGTACAAATTACTAACAAAACCATCAGTAGACAACAGCTGAGACAAAAAAAACATGACTCTACACACTCAACAAAGAGATCTTCCAAAARCTATTATATAAAACATATTCAGGGATTTCACTGGTTCAAGCCAGGTTGTAAGGTTACCACCTAATTTCACTTGTCGATTGTAATACACTAGCATATTCATAGCCAATTATTTATGTAGAGGTTTCTACTTTATAAAGAAACCCCTGAATACTTTGTCACAAAGAAAGAAAGAAGGAACGATTCACAGTACTGTAGGGCACAAGCTGATGTCCATCCGGCTGATGTTGAGATGCCGTCGCTGTTCCATAAAAAAAGCCATCGTCCAAATCATTGATTGGTTTATTGCTGTAGTCTCCAACTATGGGATACTCATCCATATTTYGAACAGTCCTTTTTCTGTACTGCTACTCAGTAGACATCAAATTATGACTTACTGTAATTGGGAAGCTACAGAGAAAGAAAGAGAAAACAGGACAATGGAACACACGGTTAGGTTTAACGTTTAATTGACTTAATACCTTTATTAAKTATTTATAGTTTTTGTTTTTAGAAAAAAACTGTCTAGTTGTGTTTAACTGATGATTTCTAGGATTAAAGTTGAACATTTTAGATGGCAAGTTTCAAYAATTTTTTATGTGGAATAATGTTAAGAGAAGTTGATTTTATGTTCATATTTTAATAAGGGGTAGCGTTGTATAATGGCTTCATAAAAAAAATTCGGCTCAAGTGCATAKAAATTTTATTGGTTACTTATGACCTGTTGAAAATATTACATACAGGGTTTAACTTGACACACTGTTTGGGGTCAACAGGTAAACCTTCATTTTAGTTTGCTACAGGTTAATTGACATTTTTTCATAAAAGGAGCACTTAAAAAACATGTTAGCATAAACCTCTCTTAAAAAGCAAATCTGTCATATTTACTAATTTAATATTGTATCAAAGTCAACCTTATTTTCTACTAACATTGAACTCGTAATATGTGCATAAAGGTATAAAAGGTCTGACTTTAAATATCAGTGAAAAAAATGCTGTGGATCTCAGAGAATTGGCTCTAATGTTATGTAAGTTTGATATTGTTTTGATTTAAAAAATATGAGTCAAATGGCTCAAATATACACTATAAAAATGGTTGCAGATGCATACAAAAGCAAGCAGTTTGGAAGCTCTGTGAGGCTCAATATTACAGTGATGTACCTTATTATCCTAATTTTTTATTAAATAATTGGGTTTCCATTTTTTCAAGGACAAATTTCAATCTAACTAAGCATTTCAAATTAATATCAMGAGAGAAAGACCTTCAGGATTCTAGTGAGTATGCTTGAGGAAGTGTTTGCCACCATTGCAATGTTGTTCCTGTGTGTAGGCACAGCGTAATCAAATATTTCACATCTGTATTATTCTCCAGCAATAAGAAGATACGACCCAATTAGTTAAAACAGCATCGAGTAGAAASAAATGCCAATTAATTAAAATACTGACAAATTGCTATGGTCCTAGTTTGATTTAAGCAACACTTTCATTGTAGTTTGAAATGGTAGCTTGTCGACTTTCTTGCTCCAGGAAGTTTTAAGAAACTCTAGAAATACAAACTCATATTGTCTTCTCATTAGCTCTCCTACTCTTGTTTTCACCAGAAAAGTGACATGCACATGCTATTTCTTAAATAAGCTTATCAATAACATAATATTTATCGATTATTTATACCAAATGTCAATAAATTTATATAAAAGTTTGCATACCTACTTCTACTAGCTTAAAAATTTCATTCGTTGACATGATTTCTGTTATAAAACATCTCCTGAACCATTGGTAGCATAATTATATGGAACGGTTAAGGAAATGCTTTACTTGATGGTTACAAATGTTTGGAACTGTTACCAATACTGTGCAAATGTTAATTCATAGGATGTCATCTAGTTGAGATAAGCCTATAAACCCAAAGAAGTGTTTTTATCCTGTACACTTGTACAAGTATGGAATATGAGCATTTAGCCTTGCCAACCAATYTCTGAATACTAATGACTTCTCGAGCAAAATATTGTCTGTTACACCCACTTAAAACCTTAACCTCAAAACACCATACCAAAACCTTACAAATAGAAAACAGATTTTCAAGCTTTAGGCATTGAATCAATATAGAAATGATAACAAAGAATATGGGTTTTCTCATGAAAAACCATGCAAAATGTACATTATTTTTTCACATCAAAAATTCAAACACTACAACCAAAAAATGTCACTTCAAATTTGCATTACTACAAAAGAAAATCTTGTATGTGGTTGTCATGACAATGAGTTCCAACTGTGATTGGTCAGTTCAAGACCAGCTGGTGTGAAGGTTGAAAATCACAATTTATTATAGAGTTGGCAGATCTTTTTCACTAAATCATCATCAAAGGGATGAATATTTCATTCTAAAAAAACATTTTGCACATGTTAGCGATTGATTTTCATCTTGTCAATGAACAAGCTAAGTTTTAATTAATAAAAATCAAAATATAAATTTCCTTTCCACAAAGGGCATAATACAAAGAATCTGTTTAGCTTAAGAGTTTGAACTTTTACTGAGATAATTAACCAAACAACCCACAGTTCAACTTGATGTGTTTTGATCAGACTTTTACCTAGTACATGCAGCGGTTTTAGGCTTTTGGTTTTCTTCATTTCTGTTGTCAACATAAAAGAGAAAACATTGTACAGTAATAAAAGAGTGAAATACAAACCAGACTTGTATAAAATGCTGCTAAAGATAAGATTGTTTCTTGGTGCAAGAAAAATTAGAGAATCAAATACAGCAATGTAATCAAAACTATTTTCCAATGAATCAAGCCATTGTTGGCAGAAACAAAGTGATTGTTGAAATTAAGTGCTAGATACATCACTACAACCCTATAATTCTTTAAAAAACAGCCACAAAATTAGAAAAAATAATAAACAAATCCTGTACCATTAAAAAATGAACAAGCACTTCAAATTTTTAACTTTTAAAGCGAATAAAAAACTCTCTTTCCTTCAACTGCACTATAGTACAGCTGAACAAATGAAAAACTTAACTCTCAAACAGAAAAACATAGCCTTTAAAACCTTAATAATACTAACAGAGTGTCTTAGAGAAAGCCTTACCTCAGCTGTTTTTAGTATTAATTTATCATTGGAATTGTGAAGCTAGTGAGATGGAAWATGACCATTTTGTGTTACTCTCTTTAGCATGGATTATATGTACTTTTCAATCCCCAGCTGCCACAGACTCATTACAATAAATTAGCATTTAGAAGAATCAAACAAAATACTGTAGAGTCACATTTGACAAAAGAATGGAAATTGTATTTCTTGAAGTACCAAGAAATTACCAACTTAAATCTACAAGAAAGTTAGCGTTCCTTTGAGTTTGAAAGTCATGGTTTGCAGTTAAAAAACACAGTACACAGAATCCTTAGAGGTACTTGAAACTCATTTTGCTAACCACCACAGCAGGCACATTGTTAACATAGGCTTGCAATGACGAATATACATAACATACTATCTATCATTCACAGGTAAAGACCACAACGATAAATCTTTGAAATGTTAATTTGTGAAATAATTTGTTTAGAATGAAAACTCACTTTCACTTGAGTTGTCTTTAATGAAGTGACGACTGCTGTCATGGAGATGGGATAATTTTTCAGAACACTTACAAGATTGAATTAAAGCAGAAAGAAATTTATCATTTTTGAAAATTGATAGGAATCATTGAATAAGACTCGACTGCACTATAAATTTGAATAACACAAAAAAAGATCATTGATAGAGTGAGCTGATAAACAAATCATTATTTCAAACCTATTATTTTCAACTGAAATTGTTTATTCTCGCACTCWCAAACTAAGCAGATGGTTTTAAAGGTTTGTATTGATTATTATTTCAATATAATGTTTAAATCTTGTCAAAATCCATCGATAAAATTGTAACTGACCTTAACTACAAAAAAATATTAAATCATGACGAAAAGATTGCAAAGTAAATACTAAAATCAAAAAYATAATAATATATTTATGCAAAATTTGACAAATTTTTGATTACCACTATACAATTGCCATGATATAAAATTTCACAGGTATTTGTCAAGGTTCTAGATGTTAATAACTTTATGATATCAAGATGGTATTAATTCCATGATATCTTAAAATTTGTATACCATGAATGAAAAATATTCACTATCCAGTATCTGGACATYTATACATTTTCCATATCCCTGGAAGTTCTGGTAGGGAAACAGCATTTTGATATGCTGTGAAAGTCACCACTTCTTCCTAAAGTTGTTCACATTAAAGTCAATGCAGCCCACACAAGCTTATAAACTACATCCTGTTGATCCTTTTCYATAAAAGTTCTCACTGCTAAAGGACACAAAACATGAAAATAATTCCTCTATCTATACATATGAATCACACAACAAAATTTAACAGTTATATTAAAGGATATTATGCTGTGTTGGTTTTAGAATATGGCTTTTTGGATATTGCTTATCGCATTAAATGACAAAAATTATTTTATTTTTTTATTTATTTCTGGAGATGGGTGTGCCATGATGAGCTTTGTTTTCATGAATTCAGAGTAACAAAATAGAAARAAATAATAGAAATAATTCCCCTTCTCCTTACGAAAATATTATTCCTAGGATGTGCACTATGGGATTCTAGCAAGTTCCATCACGTTGTATGTAAGGCAAGCCTACATAATGGTCAAACTGGGCATTTTATAGCCAGTATAACCTGGCTAACGGGTTGTTTTAGGCAAAACATTTTATAAGATAACACTATACAAGAAAACGAGACTCTACAGAAGCAATACTTATGGAGATATGAAAATGAACAACATATTAAATGACATCTTAATGTACCATCAAGAATAAGTGTTTTTCACAAAACCTTAGAGCAATTTGTCATTTGTCTTAAAAATTTTCAATTTCATGCATAAGAGACTGTTAAACTATTAGCTAAAAAATTTGAGTGGAAACATTATAGCGACTTTGAGTGACAGTTTGACTGACTCTTTGTGGCTGGTTGTACTTGGGTGGGTAATGCTGTCCACCAAACAAATCCTTATCCAGCCGATAAAATTCCAAACAAAATTTTATATATAAAGTGGATAACTTTATCTGGTGGATAAACTCTATTTAYCATACAATTATCTATAAAATACCTATATTTCTCCATTTTGTAAAGTTGATATTTTGACTASTGAAAATAACATACACACTAYGCTCACKTGTGAGAGAGCTTTTCAAYATTCCAAGATAAAACCCATATCTTCACGCGCCCATGTAATATCCTCTATATAGTTTTCATTCAMCCGGGGTATCATACATATGATATCTTAAAAATAGTAGGGTATCTTCTATTCAGAGTACAAGTCTGCTCATATCCAATGTGTATAAAAATCCTATACACGTAATATATAATAAAGTAAAAATCAATATACTTGTAAAATAGTATAATACCAATCATAGAAAAGAAAAGAATCAGCATAATTCAGTGTTTTTTCCTTGTTTGTTTTTTATATCTATTCCACTAATCTATTGTTTGTACTTTATGCCAGTTAACATATGAACAAAATACTTTGGACTGCAAGTATTAAAGTCACTAAAGTTCAGACAAACATACTGTTAACTATATTGTCACTTTACCATAACATATTATTCAAATATTTTGTTTTTAACAGAATAATAATGTTTGCTTAGTTTACTAAAAATACTAGTTTGTAAACAACAGAGTTACGAAAACAAGATATTTTCAACTGGCATGGGAACATGTGAACTAATACAAACAAAACTTAAAGTTGTACTTACAATGCTGATTACAATGTCGACTTGAAACAAAAATCCATCAACATCCTTCACTCAAATGCTTCGTTTTTGTATTTTTTGCTGTACTTAAACTTTTGTTTGTCCTGCGTCATCTCTTTCATAGAAAATCAAACAGTTTGTCCTACTTCAACTCTTTCACGGAAAATCAAACTGAGAACTTGAAAAACTTAAGACTGAGATTCAAGGGTTGCTAATTGACTTTATAGGTGAATGGTATCTGATAGGATGTGTGGCTGCACAACCGCACCCTGGGGTAAAATCCCCTTCATCAAAATCATGAGTATGTTTTCCAAGTAATAATACAAAATTGTATTAAATTTCAGTTAATAACAGGTTTTGAAATCAGATAGCAGTATCAACCAAAACAGACAAAAATGATATATTTGATTTTATGAAGCTAAATTATCCAGGCACTCTTCACTAGCATGTGTTCCCCTTGCCTTGTTTCATCATAAAATGTAGTTTGATTGGTAGATTATATTACTGTTTTTAGTTTTCTTGCAAACATTGTATTTGCATTTCTATTTGAATTTTTGCTTATCAGGCATATTCCCAGTATAAGTGTTGATTTKTTTTKGTGYAATCTAGGCTGAACTTTCCAGATAATCTYCAACATTTTTTCACATACTATCGCCCTACAATTAGTAGAACTTACAACACTGCCAATACTTGATTCTAAGTAGGTTATTTGAATATGAGAGTAACCTGCTGGATTCATGAGACAAAAATCATAACAACCAATCTGAATCAACAAATAACTTTGTTCATGAAAAACTTCAATATTTTCATAGTTACAGCTGTACCGGTAATTACTTCCTACACCACAACGGCATTGCATAACAAAAGTTTCCATCAAGTTCATTATAATATTTAGAAATCAAGATGGAACAAAGTTTATGTAACTTTGCTATGTTGTGTCTACAGTGTATTATAACACATGACCATATATGGATATCTACCACCTGTCAATAATACATATTGATATGAAAAAAATTTATCAAAGTCCAAAAAATACTCTGTAGGCCTAAATGATTCAAAATGTTTAAAACGTTTTAAGCAGCCTTAGTTAAGATTAGATCCTGAAGACTCTGATAAGAGGATAATTTTCAAAGTTCTTACAAWAAGAAGATGGATGGCAGTTACTTGTACTACTGAATCAATTTCATCTACATGTATATCTCCAGATCAACTAGACATGCGCAAAATTTAAGTAGACCGACAAAAAAGTGAGACATCACTGCAATCTAAGAACTACATGTATTCTTTCTCTATTTCAATTGGTGTGTATTGCAAATAACACATTGTATTGTCTATTAGCTAAAAACAGAATAACCAACAAGTTAAACAACAACCACATGAAAAGAAAATATCAGAAAATCAGAAAAATAACTTGAATACTTAAAATGGAATAAACCAAGTTCATGGTAATATAAAAATCTTGAGAATAGACTAGATACTTTGTTTTAAGRAATTCATTCAAAGCTATAAAGCAAAAATCTCCTAATTAAATGAAAAAACTRCAGACCACAGCCTATAAAGGTCTCTAATTAGATTCTAGTACTTCATTCATATGGTGTTCATTCTTACATTGATATAATGCTCCTAGTTTGTAACCACATTGCAGGGACCCAGTGGTACCTTTTCTTGCCATAGCTCAATCAAACCTACTGAACTGAAATAGAGAATATTGTGGAGCAAGCTTATCTTACACTGTTTATACTCTAGAAGCCAATGCAAGTAACCCAGACATGGCTAGGTCAAGGTTATTTAAGCTCTTACTAAAAACTATCAACAATTCAGGAAAGCTCCTGATTTAAATGCTACTTAAGGCACTAAATTGTGCATCACACACATAACATATTTGAAATACACTTTAAATAAACTATGGAAGTGCAATTGGACATAAAGTGAACTTAGATTACAACTTGGCACTTACAAAAACGTGTAACCCTTTTGTTTTTCCAACTGTTAAACAATAGGTGTCCAAACTTCTTAATCTTCTATTTTCCAGACATGGTGACTAGTAATTTACTTGCCTTTAACCTTGACCGCTCATAGCTGTATTAAGAGTTTACAAACTACTCAAATTTATTCCTTAAGAAAAAWATACTATGTTTGCTAAACGTCATGTTACTGATAAATAGCTGAGCCAATGAGCAATATATTGAATAAATTATAAATGACAGGATAAGAATATTACTGTTTGCAGTTATCTAATATCATTCAAAAAATAATAATTTAATTTACGCTTGGGTGCCAGACATTGGTTGCTACAGTTATACAACCATAACACAACGTTTATATTGAAGATTCAAGTATAACAAGAGTCCTTGCAGTTTGTATTATTATATACAATATGTGTAACAGGTACTTGATATAACACAGTCTGATATATTACATGAATATCTAGTAGTGCAGAATACCTGTTCTTAATATTGGTCACCAGTTGAGTTTACTTTGTGTAAAACTAACATACTAGACACTCGCTTCTCGGCTTTCTATTGTTGTTATAAGTTACTTGTAACAGTTGTAATTAACATAAAAATAAGCAAAACCAAATGAAGAGTAACTGCCGAAACAGTACCTGCTAGTTATAAAAATAGATCACTAGTAGGCCATGCTTAAAGATTTGAATAAAACTAGTTGAGCATGCAGTATAAAGTACTAATAACATCAGTAATAACTTGATGAGGTTTGAAAAACTTCTTGCAACTTACAGGATTTTCTGATTTTTAYGTTTGAATCTCCCTGATTTTTAGTTGTATTATAGATAAGGTTAGTTGCTTGTAGATTGATGAACATAATGTACAAGTAATAAAAGGCTGACCTTGGTTTAAGAAAACTACTGCAAGATAKAGAAATATGACAAGATGTCAGAGATAATTCAATCAATGGTAATAGTGAAAATAACTGATTGATTGGAAGATTTTTGTAGATCAGAACATACTGATAAATCCTGGAACAGCTTTAAATTCATGATCACAGGAATAAAGCAAAATCTGAGCCTAACCTCCATTACTCAGCACATATYCATGCTATAAATATCAAAACTTGTCAACGTGGAATTCAAACTGTCATTATTTATAACTGACATTGATTAATTTTCATGTTTCGAATGCTATTCTGAGTTGAATGTAAAACCTTGGGAATGCTGTGYGTACATGTCCGTACTTGAAACCCACAGCAAACATCATATCAATATGTAAACTTGTATAATAATCAATGACAAACACAAGTAGACTTTATCAAACATTTAGTACTCTATATCAGAGTTTCACCTCAGCACACCAAACCCGTCAATCATAGCACCAACTGTTTCAAAAAAGATGAATCAAGTTGACTTGAACGCTTTAATAAAGGGGTTTCATTGCCTGAATGAGTGTAATACTGATCTTAACACAGTTACCCCCTACAGCACTGTATATACACCACTACTATTCTGTCACCGAGTGTGGTGAATTTAGTATTTCGATCTTTACTAGCCTCCAAGACCCCATCTTTCGGCATAGGCTTGTACATCTAGATCGCGACTAGATAAAACTAAACCTGTAGGGCGTACTACAACCAAACAAACTGCGGCCGATCAATCATTCTGGAATCCCGCTTCAGATTGTTTCCCGACCCACAAAACAGTTTAGTATTCGATTAACGAGCGTTTAAATGCTAACTTTTGCATTGATCTGTAACTTGCCCGGATTCTCGAGTGTCGAAAGTATTGTATTAGATCGATGAATGTACTTAAAGCTCCACAAAGATCGAGTTTATTGCGCGTTAAATCGAAAATTAGAGTGATCTTTTCGCGTTCACGGCCCAACTGCTACAATGACCAGATGTCTGGCTTTTCAAGCACGAAATTGCTAGCGTTAAATAGAAACACAAACTGCACGGTCTAAGATATGATCGAAAATATCGTTAAAACACCGAAACACTACAATAAAAGTAATAGGAGTGATAATATAGAAACTAAGAAGAAGTTCGAAGCTTCGTGATTTCTCAAACATGAGGAATGCGTGTTGTCGGAAGGGTGACAAAGGTTGACATGACTGATCAGCGAATGTAAATTACATCGACAGTCCAAAATGAACTTGAATCGGGTTACAGAGCACCCATAGATTATATATACATTGACTAGAAATTATTAAGATTAAGGGGCTATTGTGTAGTTAACAAGGATACTCTGATATCAAAGAATTTTTGAGGATCTACTAGAGAAATAGCTTAAATAAATGGCAAAACCCTATCTGTTGCCATCAAATGAAATGAATACTTCGGTTCGATTGAAATTTGCATAATTATAATTTGCAGCAAGATTCAAAGCCTTTAGGCATTCAAAATCATCGAGCCATGCTCCTAAGAAAAGCTAGAAAAGAGATCTAATACAGAACTAAAGTGTTCACTTCAATCAAAGTCTTATGTGATGTATTATTACAGCGTGTGGCTATGTGGATAATGAACGGGTTTCAGTAAGCCCGAACAATAATCGAGTAGGACGATTTCAATGTTTTGACGCTGGAGTCACTTCTACCGACTTCATGATCCCATGAGGGAATATTTCCCGTTTTATTTCGCAGAGGAAACTGTTAATTTATGAATGAAAACGCTAGAAAGCAATAAAGATCTYAAATTAAGAAGTTTTGCACAGTACATTGAGAGTGTCCAGTTACACATAGACTGTACACCCCATGCCACGCTCAAACCAAAATATACCTTCAAATCTTCTAAAACATACAAACAGYAAAAGTCCGTAAACTCTACGTTATATAGGAAACTATTATAAAGTAAAAKATATTAATTTGGTAAAAAATATAATGAATGAGCTTTTATGAAATGCCGATAAACGGTTGCAATTGACAAGGAGAGAAATATAAGCTTATTCAAGTCTCGAAATAGGTGAACCACTAGTTTGAACTTCGCTGTTAGCTAAGTTTGTTATCTGAAGAGACAGGAAAGGCGACTTCAGTTATTGCGTTAATAAATGAGTGAGATATATATGTCGTTTAGAGAGAACTACAAGTTAAAGATAAGCATGCTCTAGGTCGACCCGCGAAAATTATTAAAGTGGGACTAGCGAGAATTATCGAGTCGTGTGGCTCGACTGCAATTTTTATGTCCGAAGCAAATAGTTCAGGATTGCTGTGAGAGATCTAGCGACCTTAAATTCGCACTTCACTGTTAAGATACAAGCAAATCAAGTAGAGAATGCAACGACTTACTTTCACTTTACATCACGTAATAATGGACTCTGTTGGTAGTCACCAAAGATCAGACTTCGACAGCTTCCGCAGAAAAAAAACCGGTGTATTTTCACACCATTCTCAATGTAAAATCCTCTTGCATAGCCTTTGGGTATTAAAGAAGACCTATGGACAGTAGGAGTATCGCCAAGTGGAAAGTAAAAGCAGGAATTCAGTGAATATTAGCACCCTTCGAGTCTTGCTTCTTACTTTGATGAAGACAAAAGCCAACTTGAGCCATTGTGAAGCGACACACATGTACGACACTTGATTGGTTTTCACTAATGAGCCAATCACATCGCGCGCTGCCTGTACGTTCTGTCAATCACATACTTACCGCAAACTAGTCTCTCAGCTACGGTAACGTAATTTCTTGCGAGGTTTTTCGACTTTATTTCGCACTCAGAAACCTCTGGTTATCCAGGTTTTGTGTGAACTCTATCACAGCTTTAGTTCTGACACAAAACGTGCCAAAATTGTCGGGTTTTTGAGGAAGATTTCGCCTTGAAGTGATGACATGTCGATTGTCAAGAATCGTTGTTTAGCTATTATTGTGAGTTTTATTAATAGCTTCGACAATGCCTCCTCATTGGGTGGCTACTCAAGTGATTGACAAACAATACCTTCTTTCAGAGAGCTTCTTGTCTTCTCCAAAAGRGTGAAAAACGTTCCGTGCAATCCGTTTAGATATCATTTCAACCAGTGAGTAAAAAATAGTACACTAAAGAGCAAACCATGCTAAATGGACAGAGCGCGGAGGAAATATGGCATATCCGGCAAAGAAAAACAAGGCATGGCGATTGTTTTAATATTTCAGTCAAGTCCGACGTCAACGTATCAGTAAGCTTGATAGCCGGATAGTGAAAAGCACATTTTAACAAGCGCTAACCGCAATTACAAACAAAATATTAAACATCCGACAACAAGGAGATTTATGAAATGCTTCATAAGTATTCGCATCAAAAAAAATTGACGTGTCTCGAGCTCAAAAACGCCGAGGTCAATTGAACAATTTCTTGAAACAATAGCACACATTATCAAGTAAGCCGTGTCTATAAAACATAAAGAGAATTATATTACTAATGTCGCTATAATTATTAGTTTTCACATCCAAATAATTATATAAAGTGGCAGTTTAGGACGTAGCTATGGAAACACTGATGTCAGTCAAATCGATTGACACAGTCGTTTCTATCATTTCTGGCGACCTCGCTGCGGTATTCCTTTCAAAAACTAGTGGTTTTAATGTTTCCGGTTATGTCGAAACTTAATAAACAACAGTACTATAACTCTAGCATTTGAAAGAATTCAACAAAAGGGCTGCACTTGTTTAATCTTCACTTTTTATCGCGGAAAAATGTTCAAAATGTGACGTACATACACTCCCCTAAAATGAGCTGACTTATCTGGGACCCCTCCCCTGATAGGAGGATATGGCGCTAAGGTGGTAACATTTCAAATATTCGAACTATCCAGCATGAACTGGCCTGAAATGTCAAGCTAGAGTTGCTTGACTTATCGCATGTTTTTTCTCGATGACGTCTCTTGATGACGTCTCAAACATTTACATCCTTAAAATTCCGCTTAAAATGCGATTTGTGTTGCAATACAGGATTGAAAATAGGTACCTGACAGTCACGCTAAATAGCGTGAATCTGCAACGTGCAGCTAATCCATGGTTCATAGGGTTTCTTTCTTCATCAAATCTTAGGTACCCCCCTCAAAGAAACCACGTTTTGACAGTATGCACTTTCTTTTAATGCTCCCCCCTGAAACGGTCTTCTGTCAACGTTAAGTTACGGCGTCAGTTTATTTAAGTATTACATCATAGTTAATAGATTAACTATGATTACATCATATATCGTCATATCCAAATGATCGTAAGAGCACAACTGACGTTAAAATTTTAAATATTAAATAAGACGTCAGATCGTCATATATGTTACAAGATAGATGACGTCATCGTGTGGGATAAGCAAACAAAAAAACAAGAAACTTTAATATTTGAATTTTGTCAAACAGTCTTATATCTAATTTTGACCGTGAGGTCTTATAATGTCCTTGGCTGCAAAGCTACAAGTTCCAACTCAGATATTTTTTATATATGTTTTAATCGTATATTTAAAGGCCTTCTTCCCACCTACTTTGTTGATATTTTTCTGGAGCTATAAYGATAAAACAGTTCTTTCTATTTCTGGAGTTGCATCTTTACGTCAATAGCGAGGCGTATGCCTACTCGTCCTACTCTTTTTATGCCTTATAGTACATTTTATTTGATGTAATAATTGATATAAAGAGCAGAAATAAAAAAAAAACATTTAGTGGTCCTGTTGTTTTTGTCTATGTGCCTACCGTCTTTTTGGCCTTTTTGTCGAAATTCGGTTTAGACATTTCATGGTACTGACCGTTCCTAACGATTTCTCTCAATCAAATATGTAATAAAGAAGCTGAAATAGTGGCGTCTGTGCATCACTCGCAAACATTTCTAGAGTAAACTTCAAACCATAATTTCCTAACAAAGAATTCCTTTTCATTTGCTTTTAAACCGTATTCTGCCATTTCTATATATGATATATATAAGTAAAAATAGATAGTTCTAAGTTGTTATTTTATACCCTCCTCGAAAATAGCTATGGAGACCGTATCTGCACACAGGAAGATAAATATACACGTATCTATTTTTAGCATTCACGACTTTTTGCACTTGAGAAATCGGCATATTCTCATTTTTCTTGATTTTGGGCGTACGTTGTAGCGCATTTTAACTGAAAATTTAATGTCCTCTCCTCCCACTGAAAAAACAACCATGTTGAAACGTAAAAGCTATACACTGCAATGACAAATATTTTTTCTGTAAACTAGCGATCAATAAATAACCGTCAACGTTAGATATTTTAACAGATGCCATGTTGTCAGATGATCATTTCCTATTCAGGTAGCCAACGATTTGAAGCTTTCTCACAATTTTTGTTAATTAAGAAATAAGAAGTAAATATTTGCCCAAACATTTGAACTGTCGTAAAATAACGAATGACTTCATGTGAAAGTTGGTCTTGTCAAAAAACCTCGTCCTTAAGTTTACTGTCATTTGTGTAAGATAATTAACAACAGGAAGAATAAATGGAAAAACTAATAATGCAAGATAAATACTAGATAAATAAGAAAAAGAATCATTGATGACACTGGATTTTTTGTTTTTCTGGTTTCTGGAAGGATCCTAATGCGGGTTCAAAGTGCAATTTCCAAGTCAATTTCGGCAGAATTCCTGCGCTAAAATCAGTAAAAATTGACTTATGTCAATGTTCATTCCAAAATTTCCTTTTTTTCATTGGCTGTTGTCAATGTATATTCGACCAGATTATGGCTCAGAATCATRGAATATTCAAATAATATCCAAATATAGATGTCGACGTAAATAATAATTTTATTAATTTTATAGTCATTTGGCAGTGAATTGTTTTTTATCGATTTCCATATAATATGTCGTAATAAACTACGTTATCATCACAATCAACATTATCAGTTCATCATTATTATTATCATCTTAATAGTCATTATAAATTTACTATATTAGTTATATTCATCATTACTTATAGCATCAATATTAAAATAAAATTCGTTACAACTAAGTGGAAAAAATTCAAACCTGAAGCTCGTAACTGTTTGATTCATAAAAGACACAAAATGATGAGCTTAAAAGTTCTGAAGGACAAAATCTTTTTTCTCAAGATTATAATGCAATTTRCACATGAAATATCTTCCACGATTCAATTCTCCTCATTACTTAAAATGAAATTAAAAGCGTTCTTTGTGTAGGAGGAACGGCACTGAAGGGCTTCATTACATTCAAGACACGTCCAGCAATGTTGAACGACTATCAAAACGGCTGTCGCATTGGTGCCACGAAGACTCGAGGTCTCTTCCAAACAACAAATGTTTACATATGCGTCACATAATTCTTTAGAAAAAAAAACACAGACCTAACCTAGAAACTAATGTTATATGAAAAAAACTGCTTCAAAAAACATAGCATCTTTATCAAAGTGTACGAAAACYCGAGAAAAATTATGTATTGTCGTTATTATTTATTCGGAACTATGATTAGGAGCGAGAATACGCGATAAGCACTTAGATAAAGGTTTGCTTCAGGCAGGTTAACATGGAAATTACTTCCCTTGACAGAGCCATAACGCTAACAATCCTCTCAAGTCTCCGTTTGATGCGAAAATAACGAACATTTAGTACATTCACTTTTTAACAACGCCTAAAATAGATTTTGTATTATGTATTTCTTATAACGTTTGATCTGAATTTGTCCTGTGGCACTTGCAGATTACCATTTTTTTGTATTATAGCTACTCTAGAGGTTTACATAGTGTTGGTTTAAAATTTATAAGTTTTTTGCATACTTACAGATACGCAATCTTAAATTCAGGCATTAAATCTTAAAGRAGCATGTTGTACACCAGGCGTACCTTTGATAAACCGTTCAACTTWACTCTAACTTTAAACATTTAATATTTATAACAAATTCATTTTTATGCTTTTGYACTGAGTGGGTGGACTTAATTGTGTTGTACAAATTCTACTGTTTACATCATATTTTTAATTATTTACACAAATATTGCAAATCTGTTTTACAGTTTTTTCAATGTCATTCAAATGTTAATGTTAGTCTCATCGGAACAGCTAACGGTGTGGTTAAGGGCATGTAGATATACCACTGATTTAGTTTTGTAAATGAAATCGCGTGAAAAAACTGTGGTCTTGCGTGGTCAGTTAATAAGCGAGAGAAGTCGCTATAACCCAATCTTGTCGTGATGTACTTGTTTTTCCAAGAGCGGTTATGTAGTTCTCTGATGCCTATCATCCAGCTTTATTAAGATTTCGCGTGATTCATGGAATTTCTTGCCATATTCTTTTCCTTATAATCCAATTGCTCAATAACATACGTACATATGAATKTTACTTATATGGCGTTCTTTGTTTTCAAGCTGATTTATTGATATTCCTGTGGTGCGCGCTAAATTTATTGTAAATATATCGCCACCCAAAACGGGGCAAATGCGTGATCGTTAATGAGCATATACGCCTTTAAAATGTCATCCTTATCCATTTACAGCGTCCTGTGGTTTGGTCCGATCAAAGCGGTTCACAATACTTGCTCAAAACGTGCGGTTTTCTTCGTAAGCTCTTGCGTGATTTTCCGTGATCCAAGTCAAGGGAGGATTTCTTTGGTTGGTCGCAGTGTGTGCATGAAGCCACGTTACGTAACAGTCGTACAAAAATACGCAGGTGTGATATCATAGYGATTCGTCGCCTTAGGCTCCTATATTTCTCATCCTGCGCTGATGAATTCTATAGAAATTATCATGATCTAATATGGATTCACCATGTGATTTAGCGCGATTCAATATGAAGCCTTTACAAATTAAACTGGGCTCACAAAAACTCATTCACGATTTATCGTGATCTAAACATGATAAATCCAAAAGTTAATATTGCTCCTTCACAATCCTATCGCGATCCAAGATGGCCGCCACTGCACAATTCAAGATGGCGGCGTTTTTGTTTGTTTGTTTTTTTCTCTTTGTTGTTGCTGTTTTTCTTTTAACCACATAAATATTAAACGCTTTTGCATCACAGAATATATAGGTTAAATTTKTACTAGTATTAAAGGTATTATGTGTATGTCGTGCATTTGTTATCAGTTGACATTTACTAACTGTAGATAGATTTACTGTAACTGGCATAATCTTGAGTGATTGAAACTTCGATATGCGGAATAAACTATCARTTGAACTTTCATTGGTCTTGTTATTATTACTGCTGTTTTTTTTGTTATTGTTATTGCTGTTGTTGTTATTATTGCTACAGTTTCTGTCATTGCTGTTATTATTATTGCTGCTATTGTTATTGTTGTTGTTGGTTGCTATTGTAAATGTTGTAGTTGTTACTGTTGGTGTCCTTGTTGTCCTTATTGTCGTTGTCAATGTCGTTGTAA